AAAAAAAACAAAACAGAACAATCAATATCCAACAGCGATTTGATGATAGACTGACCCCCACCAAAAAAAGAAAGGACCTGGATATGACCCCAACACGGCAAAAAAGGGGGCGGAAGAAAGAAAAGAAAAGGAAATGGAACAAAAGAAATAAAAACAGGACAGGAACCAGATGGCCCCATCGAACGCTACACCGCAACAACCAAATAGACATACAAACACAAAATCGACAACATCACAGACGGCGATCGGCGCAAAAACGCCGAAGCGAAAAATAAACAACACACCGAGCCTTGACCTGCCGCCGGGGGGGGACAAAACATCGTTCAGGCATATGCCCCGGTGACGTCGTAAACCTAGGGCCGCGTACCGCTACTCACGTACCCCAAAGTATGCAACACCGAAACTAGAGTTGGGACCCCGAAGTCGCGGCTCTCTTGCTACCCCCTCTTGTGTATCTTTCTGCAGCGCCAGGTCGTCTTTTATTACTTGTCCTAGCGGGCAGGCGAACAGTTCCAGGGTTGGCCATGAAGAGAGCCGCCCCCCGCCCTCCCGTCGTTGTAGTTCCTACCCCGCCTGCTTGCACATTGACCATCGTCAGAAATTGGTCCACGAGGGCTACGGCGACTGTCGGTGAAAAGCGATCAGACAAAATACTCGCGGCTTGCCCGAGCTTCTTCGTTACGTCGGCGTACAACACTTGTCTATCACTGGTCCGTGGGCCCCTTCTCCTTCAAGTCCAACAGGACCGTCTGCACCGTCTGGCTGCTCCCAACGAAAGACTTCCACCTCCCGCTGCATTCCCCCCACCCCCTCTTTCCCTCTCCCTCTCCCGCCGCCCCGTTTCCACTTCTCTCGCAGGCGTGGCGGTTGGATACCCACCCACCGAGGGCGGGGCGACAATCCGGCCAGTCCTGCTGCGGTGTTCCCCTCGCCTTTTCCGTTCAGCCAGTGCTCGTGCAGGAGGCCTACGTGGAATCTGAAATCGGGGGGCTGTACATCATCGCCGCCCACACATGGCGACAAAATAGCCTGAGAGTTTGGAGTGTGCGGCACTGGCAGAGATGGCTACCGTCGGAAAAGAGCAAGACGAGGTAGTCGAAGGCCTTGTCATCACGCTGCTCGTGAATCCCGAAGACGTAAAAGGCGTCGCAAAGCTTGTCCTCGATGTACTCGAACGTGCGCCCCGAAGCTGCCGCGCGTTCTGGTCCATCCACCTCCCCACCACCCATCTGGCAAAACGTGATGGCCGCGGTCATCTCTTGCTCCATGAACCGCCGCGGCCAGCCCGCGATGGAGAACTCGCAGGACTCGAGCACACTCTTGAAAGCGGTCGCTGGTGGAGCCGCCATCCGATTAGGCGGCAGATGGTCGATTGCGTCACGCAGCATGGCGGCATCCTTCTGGGAACAGATGATGCCCGAAAAGTACTTCGCCACGTCCAAAAGCGAGGAGCGCGAGTTGCACCTATCCCTGATGAGGGCGTTTTGGCCTGTTGTGTGTGCGGCGGACAAACACGCAAGAAGCGACACACAAACCAAACCGTAGGTTAGTGATTGGTGTCATCAGACATCGTTGAAGTCGCAGTACGCCAAACGACTGAAAGAGAAGCCTATGACTTGACGCACCCATCGCCACAGATGTATGTACACGTGAGCCGGACGATCGCAGTGCACCGACCAAGTACATCAATCCCGAACAACAGGGGCCGGACAACAGCCACATGTTTCGAAGAGGTCGTAAACATTAGCGTCATGTAGGGAGTTGTTTACTGGTCATCCACTGACGGCGTACGATAAATTCGTCCAGAAGCACTCACCAATGGCATAGTAAATAGGGGGCAAGGAAGATAGCCGCCCCCAACCCCTACAGACGTAGAAAAACTCCCAAAAACAACGACAACGCTATATGCGCTGTCGTTCTCGAACAAAACGCTCATGATGGCAGATGACGCATACACGCACCTTCAACTCTTGATGTCGTCCACGAACCCACGGAGAACACCAGGGGCGACACATATTCCGCCCACCGTGCACGGTCGTCATATACTACTTGCATGTACTTCTCCGCCTTCGGGTACTTTTCGATGAGGGCGTTGAACTTCCGTTCGAACTTCGCCAATGACAGCTGCTGACGCACACACCTGAACTCGTCCATGAAAGGCTGCGGAAAACACAAACGACGTGGGCCGGGTGGGTGTTGCGTGAGTTGGGGCCTTTGCGATATGGGCTACCGGTCTGTACGATTGACTGCCACCAACAACCCCGTACACTTCGTTAGCGCTAAGGCGAGACGAGGAGAGGGTTGAAAAAACTCAGCGACATACCATTGGTGCTTACAACCTGCTGCTGCTGCTGCTGCTTTTTCTGTGTGCACTGGACGTCGTGAGGTATGTTTCCGTCGAAGCCGAGGTCGTCTCCGCATCACGGTCTACGCAGAGACGCTGGATATCACTCTTCCAAGTAGGCGACACTGATCCATGACAACGCACCAACTCGCACAGGGGATACAAGCGGGAGTGGGGGAGGGGGGCTAGAGTGGGCAGCGTACGTCGCGCGACCAGGACAATACGAGAGGCCAGACTAACCACGCCAACACACACAGTAGAGCGCACCTTCATGTACCCACCAAGGACTTTAGCGAGGGCCTTGATAACGTTCTGGTTGAGGTGCCATAAATTGCGCCTCGCCAGCGCGTCCGGGAACACCTCTCGCACCGCCGCCGTCATCGCCGCGTCCGCGTCCTGGATGAAGGTATCCGGCTGCTTCCCGCGAGACTCCAACGCACTCTTCAACATCCACAGGAAAGTGTCCGTTGTGGTGTCGGCCGTTATGCTTTGGCCGACGATCCGCGTCCGATACTCCGAATCGACGACAGCGAGCACACCGAGAGGCATACGGTATCTGTTCTTGACAGCGGTGTCGTCGTAGAGCGCAACGTGACCGTACCGATTCCAAAGCGCCACCTGCGTATTCGGAGCATGACGTCGAAGGGGATCGAGAGCACTTAATTGTGGGTGTGACGTGTGTTGGACGCGTCACAACGCACCCCCACCCTTGCCTACGGCGTGCTTTCGGTCAGACGTCCTACATTTGCGGACGGCGAAGCGGTACGTGCGAGATGCTAAAATGAAAGCAAACCTTCCGGCTGGGGAATATTCGTATGGGGCACAACGACCGGCGACCTACCTGCTCTCTCGTTTGCCACCAGATGTGCGTCAGGCGGCCGCTGTCATCCATCTTGATCTCGCACACTCCGCCGTCGGCCGTCGCGGCCATGACCTGAAATTGCAACATGTTAAGCGCCCGGAAACATCGAGGGCATCAGCGCAAAACCACGACGACGGCACGGCACACATTTTTTACCTCCAACATTTCTTGGTTTGGTGTCATGGGGCATATATTCTCCCGGTTGTCACCTGCGATCGTATGTGTCTTGTCGCCCGGATACCGCCTTGAGCAAAACCCAACATCCCACACACAAACAAGAGAGGCAACAGTCTCAACGGACACATGGACACACCTCTTCGTACGCATCGGCAGCATCTCTCGGCTTCTCCGCCCCGTGCACAATGGCAGCTGCGTTCTGCACCGCGCGCTTGTTGATGTCGATGTCGCTGTCCTCGTGCAACGCCTTCATTGCTTTCGTCACCTCTTTTGGCTTCATCCCATGACCTGCGCCGTATGGGAGAGCCGGGAGCACAAAAATAAGTGGCGTGTCACAGACAAACAGGGTAACAATGTGGAGGCGACAGCAGTACCACGCTTCAAGGGCCGTTCGTCATGCGGCATCATGACTACCAACCATGACAAACCGTGGGATACGACGGGAGCCACTGTAGACCTACTCCAACGAGTTCAATCTTCCTTGCCCCATATTTGATTCACAAGACAAGACAAATGAAACGTTTCGCCGTCCACCGCTGAGTACACGAAAACAGCGAACCGAACGTGCACGCGTTGAAAGGCACGAGGTGCAGCACAGCAGGGACAATCAATTGGCGTGCTACACCCACGGAAACAATGGCAGGGCCTCTACAGGGAGCCTTGATGTGGACCGGGGGAATGCCAGATACCGGTGCTCTTTTCATGGGGCCAAGGGGAACAGCAGCAGCAACATCAAGTAAAGCACACAAAAAAACATTGTGGGTGTCACGCCGAACGGCACGTGTCAAGCACCAACCCGTCTCGCCTGCGTTTCCGGCGGGGGGCTGGTGGTCAATGTCTGCTGCTGTTGTTGCTGTACGGGGTGGGCTTGTACAGGGTAGCCCGCAAAACCTCCGGCGGCCCCAGCATCGGGAGCACCCACAGGGGCCGGAGTTCCCAACGGCAGACCAGTGCGAGGTGAAAGCATGGCCTGCAACCGCACGCGAAACCCACCACGCGGCGGAATGGAAGGACACCATGTCAACGTTTGATCACAAGACAAGACAAATGAAACGTTTCGCCGTCCACCGCTGAGTACACGAAAACAGCGAACCGTACGTGCACGCGTTGAAAGGCACGAGGTACAGCACAGCAGCGACAATCCACTGGCGTGCTACACCCACGGAACAAACATTGCCGGTGTCACGTCGAACCGCACTTGTCAAACATCAACCCGTCTCGCCTGCGTTTCCGGCGGAGGGCTGGTGGTCAATATCTGCTGCTGTTGTTGCTGTACGGGGTGGGCTTGTACAGGGTAGCCCGCAAAGGCTCCCGCAGCGCCAGCATGACGAGCACCGTAAGAGGCCGACAGAGCAGCACTGGATGGAAGCATTCCTAGCAATGACACTACCGCACGGCAGGCCACGGGTCCCACGACGCGAACATGGAGGGTAGACACATGAAGTTAAGGGGTTGGGCAAGTGCGTGCACAATGCCTGCACCTCTACCAGCCCAGCACTGCTGTAGCACCACCATACAGCCGAGCAGCCAGAAGAAAAGACTCCGGACTATACGGCAAGGACAACAGGCAGGGCCTGGCCTGGCCTGACCACACCAGTGCAGGCACATGATCACCAACGTACGTACGACGGCAACAACAGGTACAGAGCAGCATCGACACGTGGGACAGCATGAGGGAGGCTGCAACACAGGAGACAGACCAACACACACATGGCGCTGGTGCGGGTGCGGCCGTTGCTATTTTATTTCCAAAAAAAACATCACAGAGAGGGTGAGGGTGAGGCACAGACACAGAGGATGCACGGACGCCTGTCGGGACGGGATCTCACCAGTTATCGTTGTGTGTTGTCTCCTCGTCTTCCCCCAGCGTGCGGGTGCGTGTCGCCGCCTTCAGACGGCTCTCCGCCGCCGTGATTATCGCTGCTTTTATAGGAGAGGGAGAAGAACCTCTTCGGGGACACTCCGGGCGGTTTCCCGGGGTTTCGATCCGTCTGGATGTTTGGACTGTGGTTCTCTTCTATAATCCATGGATTGCAAATATTCGCGGCCCGAATTGTCGGGTGTGGCCAATGGTATATGACAATAAAAAAAAAATTTTATTGTCATATACCATTGGTGGCCTCTGCTGTCTGCTGCTATAGCTGCTGTGCACTGCTCTGCGTTGCTGTGTCGGGCGAAGCAAACAACGATGGCTCTCTCGATTCGGCAGGCAACAGTGGATGACCTCATCCAGATGCAGACGGCCAACCTGTGGTGCCTGCCGGAGAACTACCAGATGAAGTACTACCTCTATCATGTCCTCTCCTGGCCGCAGCTGCTCTTCGTTGCCGAGGACCACAAGGGTGAGCGCGAGAGCGAGAAGACTTGAATGTTTTGTGTACCGATTCCCGACCAGCTATAGCAGCCGCACTGCTGTAATGCGCAGTGGTGCCGCTTGTTTATGCTGCACTGCTTTTGAAGAACCACATTCTACTGGCCGGTGCTGGTACGCCACCGTACATACGGGTACACTATTTATTGTATTGTACAGGCAAAATGCTAATGCTTAGACAAGAAGCAGCAGACGCCAGGGAACAGCTTCAGCAGTCAGGTAGTAGAAGTAACTCCCAGCGTCCTGCTAGAGTGATTGACACACGCTCGTCCTCGTCTCAGCGATGTCCTTGCCCACTACAGCAGTGATTTGTTTCGTTTCTCGAGAGACACACCATACTCTGTGCACATCTAAAGAAGCAATGTATGCAGTATTGTGCTTCATCAATGGTCGCCGCTGCAGCTACAATCTATCCGCCCTTTTGGGCGATGCTATGCGAATCTGTCGCCTTTGCTCAGGCTGCGGTCTGGACCAGTTGAGTTGGGTTATTCTTGTTTTTTACTTGTAGGCGAAAAAACAAGGGGCCGCGATCCCGTAGTTTGCCTCAAGTGCGGTTTGCAAGCCCGCATACAGCAGTAGTCGCGGTTCCGAGGTTACTCTATAAAACCGTTTAACCAGGGGCTCGGATTTTCGGGTGTCGAAATCGGTTGTCACGACCCCCGCTATTACAAGTAGTTGGGTAAGCTCCGATATAATATTAGATGGTCGAGGGCCTTCGTCACACCACCGTCTTAAATCATATCGGAACCACGACTGTATTCGGTTTGCAGCAACTGCTGTAGGGCGTACAGACCCTACGTTCCAGTAGCAAAACCACGCCGGTCACGTTGAACGATGCCCGAGCGGGGAAATGTAGGGGGGGCATGTGCTGTGGTCCCTTGACACGCTCGAGAGGGAATCGCATGTAGAGCAGTGCCATCGGGACCATGCGGCATATTTTTTCTTGTGTTGGTTGCGCGTCAGACCCCCCCCCCCCCCTGGCACGAAAATATTGCCCCGTTCCCGCAGGTAAGATCGTGGGATACGTGTTGGCGAAGATGGAAGAGGACGCCAATGTTCCGCCGCACGGGCACATCACCTCCCTCGCGGTTCTACGCACACACCGAAAGAGGTGGGCGTGGCTCGAGCGTTTTCGTTATCCGATGCGTGTGGGTGACACGACAAGAACTTCATGTATGTTTCGTCCAGCAGTATCGTAAAGTCTACTTGCCATCGTGGTCTTGAGGCAACACACGCCAGGATCGGGACTCCTGGGTGCTGCTGCTGGCTGCAGACATGAAGATGATCACCAGCGGGGGGGGGGCACGAACTTGAGATACATTTTAGCTTGTCCGGTTGGAACGGTTCCTTGGTTGTCTGGAAGGTCTCACAGACAATTTTGTGTGCAGCAGTCACGATTATGAACTACAGTGAGAAGGTGGTGTGACGAGCGCTACGTGACGCTGTGTCTTACGAACGGGAGGCTGTTGAGGATACTGACGCCGTATTTGCGCGTCTGCGTCGTGCTGGACATTCTTTTACGTCATGCGCTGAGCCCTGAGAGTCTGGCCGCTGATTCAGACACACTCCCTCCCCCCCCCCGGGTCGTACGTTTGCGTGCGCGTGTCCCACAACTCCGGCGAGCAGAGGTATAGCCACCCGCCTGATGCGCTGCAGCCAGTTGTGCATGCAGGAGTCCTTCGAAGCCCGCTACGTGTCGCTGCACGTGCGCGAGAGCAACAGGGCGGCATTCCACCTCTACAAGACGACGCTGGGATATCAGGTAAGACCTTGCATTATCCGCGTAAAGGGGTGGTGGTTCCAAAACGACGTGTTCAGGAGAGAGACCAGGCCGTGCAGGCATGGGCAGACGCCACGTTATGTTCCTGTCGTGTCTGGCGTAGGCTATTTCTATGAGTGAACCGATAACGAGTTGTGAACGTTCTTAAGGTTGTACTCTGTGATGCGTGCCGTTGCGAACGCGATTGTTGCTACATATATATGTATGGGTTACGGTAGTATACGTGATGTGTTCTATTATCTGATTTTGTGTACTAAGCGTCTGCATGGCAGTCAAGACCGTGGTGCTGTCACCATCCCCCCCATGCACCTACTTACTAAGCGCGAGACGCCCTCGCCTGTTTAATGGTTCTCATCTCCTCGCTGGCATGTGTCGATATCCTTGCGATTGAAACCGCATGCCTATTCTATTAGTAATGATTCCCGGCATGTCCTCTTCGTCGGTCATCTTCTACTTTGTTCGGCATGACATTCGTCCACAGGATTTTTTTTTGTCTTCGAGCTACCCCCCCGTCCCTTCAATATTGCTCGTCTAACCGCTAAGGCATGCAAACACGAGAGTACCTCCCCCCCCGCCCCGCCCCGCCCCGCCCCTCCATTCCTCCTCCTCCTCCTCTTCCTCCTCCTCCTCCTCCTCCAGCATTATCTGAACACTTTCGCAAGCCGCTCGCTAATTTTGCACAAACGAAGGTCTCCCGATGGGGGCACTTGTTCTTCGCCCAACCATGTTTCGTTGCACATGCCTCTCGACAGAGTATGTCAAACCCCGTTATCTCTCTCTCTGTCTCTCTCTCCTCTGTGTACAGCAAATATACGCGGCCGGTACATGCATGCGTTCAACTTGCAGAACACAACAAACTGACTGACTACAACGTGGGTGGGATCTACGAACTCGGTGGATGCATACTTCTTGTAGAGCTCCGGGCTCTTCCCCCAAGTCGTTCGTGTTCCTGTTTCTCGTGTGTGCCCCGCGCCGGCTCCATAAAACAAGAACCAATGACAGAAAATAAACATGTACTTGTAGAGGATTAAAGAAAAAACTCGGGACCGGCTGTGAAGAGAATTGTAGCGCTCGGGACGGACACCATATGGCAAGATAGACACGGAGTTTTCGAAGTATTGACTTGTGCTCCCGACAACCAGACGGCGAAAAATGTCGAGCGGAGAAGGCCGTGCTTGTACAACTCAAAATCTGCCACAATTTTTCGCGGTGCTCAAATGTACTTCATCTTCAACACGAAGCACGTGTAGGCCATACATAAATGCATGTATGAATTATGGCCTGGGTTTGCATTTTGCGAGGTCTGTCTAGTACCGAACCCTTGCATTTTAGGCTCTCCTCCCTTGTGTAGCCATGTCCCCTCGTTTCTGTTATTGACCGACACAATCCACCCTGTCATACCTACCGTTACCCCCCCGCCACGCCAACCGTCAAAAGATCAACGACGTCGAGAAGGGCTACTACGCAGACGGCGAAGACGCGTACGACATGCGCCTCCCCTTCCCCCAGAAGGGGCAGTCCTACGGGGCCATGACCCCGCTCAAGCAGGTGGTGGCCGTCAAGCGAAAGGAGGAGGCGCCCAAGGCGTCCGCGCCCGTGGCGGCGGGGGGGGCAGCGGTAGCGGCAAGAGAGGGCGAGGGTCAAGGAGGGGAGGGGGGCGCGGAAGGCGTGGAAGAGATCGCGAGTAGCATGGGAGAGTTGTCGGTAGGTGCGGGTGCTGAAAAGGCATAGCGCGAGAGAAAAAAACTTTGACGAGGTTGTGTGAACTACGAGGGCTTTCGTGTTCATCCTCCTCTGCTACCTGCCCACGGACACGCACGTGTGTACGTTTTTCTCTTTGTGGAAGACAGTGTTGTGCTGTGGCCGCTGGTGCTTTGTTGTAGAGAGTCTACCCGAGAATGTTGAAGATTTGGTGCGATAGACTTCCTGCGGCACGCAGTATCTTGCGTTGAAAGGTGATCTTTTTAGCGACGCGCACGAGTTTTTTCTTTGTGGAAGGCATTGTTGTGCTGTGACCGCTTGTTTTTGGAGTTTCTAGGCGAGAATCTTGAAGATTCGATGCGATTGGTGTTCTGCGGCACTCAGTATCTTGTGTTGGAAGCCGATCTTTTTAAGCGCTGGTGATCTTGAGAGCTCAATTGAAGTGTCAGCACCACTGTCTTGTATGAAGTCCTGCCAGCGAAGATCTCAGGGCGTTCCGGGGGGTTGCTTGTGCCGGTGGCTTCGCAGTTGATTACCACGATACGGCATACCATAGAGTCGACCGAGTGTGCTCCGGCTTGTCAAAAGTGATCGTATAAGGGCAGGTATTGTAAGTAGAGACTTTAGCCCATCGTCTCGCGATGTTGACGCAGTCGTCCTGCGACAATGTACTGCTATAGGGCGGTAGCAATGCCGGCGAAGGGCCCTGCGGGCAGGTTTGCCACAACAAGCTGTGAGCTCTGCGACCTGTGGTCATCAGGTTGTTCCGTCACGCCTGGATGCTTACGCTTCTTACTGCTGTCTACAAAGCAAAACTGCGTTCAGTCTTTTGTCACCTAGCATCCTGCTGCTGCTGCTGCTGCTGCTGCTGCTGCCGGGGGCTCGAGTTGTAGACAGATCGAACGGAAATTCAGGGGGGTGGCAACCGCGATTGGCCCACGTTACATGGGTTCTTGAGGGGGGAGAAACCAACAGTGTTTGCATGGACACAACGAGCGCACGATAAACCTGGTGACACACTTGTGTTCGTTCGTTTCGCCCGCCCTTGTTTCTTCCTGGCACCCTCCGAGCAGTCGTGCATGTTTTCACGAAGCCTTTTGAGTCGGGCTAGGGCGATGGATACGTGCAGAACAGGTTGTCGTAAGATGTCAGGGAAAGTTCGTAACGACTGCAGGAAGGGACATCCAAACAACTGTCTCCATCACCGTCATCATCAGTGTTGTCCTACATAAAGATTGGTCTATATATATATGCAAAAAGACAGCACAAAGCAACATTTCTTCGAAGTATTTTCTTGTGTGACGAAAGGTGACGAAGGGTTATTCTCGAATATGTTCAGTTCGTACGCGTATCCGTGGGACGTGTGCAAGAGAAGACATACAATTGGGCGCCGTCGCGCCAGAGGTGCGCACAACTGCACAGACAGATGGAGGGCGTCTCTGTGAAACCCCTCAATTGCACGCACCCCGTTTCAAAGGCGAGTCCTCATTTTCCTCTTCGCACTAAAGTTGTTCAGACCTTTGTCGCGTCCTTCTCTCTCCCTACTTTTCAAAGGCGATGTTCTGAAGACTCCTGGTCACAAGCTATTGTACCCAAAACTTTGTCGTCCTGCCAAAAAGGAAAACATTTGATAAACATGGCCTACGCACTACGCCTGTCTGTCTTCAGTTTTGCAAAGAAACACTCCACCGAACAATTAAACACAACACACCCACTTTCTCTCTCTGATGCGCGAGAAGAATGTTCTCATCATTACTACATACTGTCATCATCATCATAGGTCCTGCATTCTCTTTGTTTGCTGGAATATGATGAGCGGTGGTTGGTGGTGTTGTATAGGCCAAGTGACAAAGAGTGGCATTTTTTACCTCGCTCTTCTGCTGTACACTTTACCACCACTACGCACCACCGTCGTCAGCGTAGCATAGGAGATAGATGCATTAATTACTTCTTCTGTATTTGAATGTTGCAAAACAACGACAAGACAACAACAGCCAAAATCGCCCGTCCGTCTGCTTCCGCGTACAGGTTATAACAATCCAGCAGAGGGGAAGCGACAACAGCAAGCAAGCAGTGATGGTGGGGGACGAAACGAAAGAGCTCGCCGCACGAAAACGGTCATCATCATCGTCATTATATTGTTACTTCGAAGCGAATTGAATGTAATAACGAGAGGGCTCAGAAAAAAAACAAGGTTGGTTGTTCGTTGTTGGTTGTGTGCAAATAATATAATAAGAAGAAAGTTTAGGCCCAAACGGTCACAACACTTCTTACTTATTATTATCAGACTTGTCCGGGGAGAGCAGTCAGTCAGGTGGCTGCGATAAATACCGGACAATGAACAATTCATTCAGCAGAGAGAGATGTTTGACGCTCACATCACGAATGAATACAAATTTCACGCTGCTGCTACTACATACTGCTGTTGTTGTTGTTCATTCACAAAAAAAAAAAAACGCCGAGCAACGTGCCCAAATGACCCACTCTCTAGTCTAATCATTTAACAGAAAGTCGCACGATAATCGATTCTGTCTCCGTATCCCCCTGCTAAATAGGCCGGCCGGGGGCGTAACAACCACACGGTGTAACAACCACACGGACGGTTGCACGGGCAGCCAGTCCATCGCCACACGCACACGACGGTCAGCAGGTAGATAGATGTGGCTCTCTCAATTCAAGATAAACGAATTCGTGCTGAAAAAAAAGCTCGAGGTGAGAATCGAACTCACGATCTCCTCTTTACAAGAGAGGTGCATTAACCACTGTGCTACACGAGCTAGTTACTCCGCTTGAAAAAGTGTCGAAAATGTGAACATTTGATGATATGATGATTTTATTGTGCTAAGTCTCTCTCCTCGCCACGGAATGGCTCGACAGCCCCCTCGGCGACGCTAATCAACTACAGAGAGCCAGTTGTATCCAGCACTCCATGATTGTCTCTACACTGTTGTCTTATGCATACGCTGAGAGACAGGACAGTAACCTCTCGTGGGTCGGTGTGCTCTGTTCGGGGAGGCACCGGGGGGGCGGTTTTGTCCATTCCGCCGGTCCCCCAGCTCGGAGACACTGAGAGTGCCGCAGCACACCAGACACTTCACGGCTGCAGTCAGCATCGGGATCACCTCGCTTCGGTGAGTCTTCGGGCTAGTGTGTGGTTACCTGTTAGTGTCCATGACGCTGGCGGAATCCATCTCAATGACGCTTCCGTGCAACACTCCCCTCAAATCTGTAACACAGCATTTCGGAATGTTGAACGTCAACTTGCAATTTCCGCGAGAGATGCGCAAGTCTCTGCCCTCTCGGTGCGTAGGTGTCCCTCGCGGCTTAGTGCCGATCGTAGCATACGGCTTGTGTGATTCTGGTAATAGACATGTCATTGTGCTGTTCTCGCCAACACGGCGCGCTTCTTCTCACCTCTGGCAGGAGCCGACTCGGAGCAATCGACTCTCTCTCGGAGCAATGATGATGCTGCGCGCGAAGGGGGCGCTGTCGAGGGCATGCCAGAGGTCTTCTTGTGTCGGGGGGCTAAGACTCGCGGCGTTGTCGTCGTCGTCGTCGTCGTCGAACGCCAAGTTTGACAACGTCCTCGTGGAGAGGAGGGAGAGAGTGGGCATAGTTACCTTCAACCGTCCAAAGGTGAATACCATTGCTGTCTACACCTCGCAACCCAGCTCTTCTTGTATCCTTGGAGCAAACCGCACATGACCGTGGCTACGCGGGTCGTTGGCACACGCGATCTTTTGTGCCGTCATCTGGCAATCCCGGGCCGTTGTGTGCGTACGCTGGGGTAGGTACCCGCAGTTTCATGCGTATGGATTTTCGTGTACAGACAGGTAATGGAGTTTGTCCGCAGCAATAACTGACCGAGTCTTTGCTAGATTTTGGGATGAGCAACTGACACGAGTTTATTGCGAAGACATCAACAACAATAGTCGAGCGAGCTGCGGAGTTTCTCTCAAACGAGCATGTGTATGCATAGCAGTAGTCTATGTAGTGATTGTCCACCCTATGATGCGCCAGCCCCGTGTCAGCGAGGGTCGACACATAGGACTGACTGATCTTGAACACCGCCAAGGCCTTTCACAAACCCCGAGAGGGGGGCGCGTACAGTTGTGTACTTGTAACAGAAAGACCGTCCCGGGAAGGTTCTCAGAGGTGTATGGACGCGCGATGTTTCCACCACTAACATTTGTTGACTTGGGCGGAGAGTCCAACGACCCGCGGGTGGTCGTTTCTTTTTTCGGGACAATCCGAAGCGGACACGGAGCCCGAACTTTCGTAGTGGACGGGTCGAACTCCCTCTGTCGTTCTTGTCCTGTTGTTTTCATGCTGCTCTATTTCTGCTGTCGTTTCTCTCGGTGCGCTGTTTCGAAACGGTACAATAATGCGGTCCTTCTTTGGGGCTACAACGTCACAGAGCAGATACGATGACGTCCATAATCAATGGCAAGAGTTTATCACCCGACGTTTGGTGCGTCTTGCGATACCGCGCGGAGTTTTGGGTTGGGTGTACCCAGGCCGACTCGAGATAACCGAGCTCGTGCATTTGTGGACAGAATTGCGGAGGTGGTGCCCCAGGTCGCTCGGACATTAGTTGATGGAAATATTTTCGTGTGGAACAAATATTCTACAGAGGGCAGCAGCAGCAGAACACAGCAGCAGCAGCACGTACAACAGCAATGTGCCGGCATGAATGCCTTGGAACAAATATTAATAGTGTAAAGTATCCTTGAGGCAGCGTACATACCGAGAAAAATAGAACTCCCAGCGGCAATGTGCCGGCATGAATGCCTTGGAACAAATCGTGTAAAGTATCCTTGAGGCAGCGTACATTACCGAGAAAAATAGAACTCCCAGCGGCCAAATCAGAGGTAGGGGGGCGAAAAGGAAGAACAGAACAAAAACATATTCCCGGGCTTTTCTCAAAGAATGGTGTTTGGGTTTCACGTACTGCTGTCGTTTTCGAGAGGAGGCGTGTTCATGTACCGGGTCGTTCTCGGAGAGGGGTTTACGATATTTTGCCTCCACGCGCTAGGTATAGATATTCCGCAGTTGTCGCATCAGCATATAGGTCTTTGTACTCCTGCTGTTGGCGCCGCAGGCGCTGAACGCACTGAACAGCAGCAGGCTGATACAGGCACGTGTTCCGCCTGAGCCTACCGCCTGTGTGCTCCTGCTGTTTGTATATATACCGCAGGTGCTGAATGCACTGAACAGTAGTGGGCTGACATTGGACATATGTTCTGCCTAAACTTACGGTCTGTGTGCTCCTGGTGTTCTGTATATCTACCGCAGGTGCTGAACGCACGGAACAGCAGTAGTGGACCGATACAGGACATATGTTATACAGGACATGTGTTCCGTTTTTGAGCTGACGGTCTGTGTGCTCCTGCTGTTTGTATATCTACCGCAGGCGCTGAACGCGCTGAACAGTGGGCTGATACAGGACATTTGTTCCGCCGCGGAAGCCTTCGAGGGAGACCCCGAGGTCGGAGCTATTGTCTTGACCGGCAGCGATCGGGCCTTCGCTGGTGAGAGAGCTGTCGGCCACCACACCGTGCCTCTTGTGTTGTGCTGTTTGCTTGCTGCCTGCGCTACCTCGCCCGTGTCACGTCGGCTTTCTGGCCTCCCTTACAAACGAAGTGTAGTCCCACGGCCGGCGGTGCGTTTCTTGCTCCAGAAGGTTGTTCGTACACACCTCGTCGTGGAACCTACTGGTGTAGGACAACCCTCCCTCCTCCGACTCCGATCGGACGGTTTAGAACAAGGGGGATCTATCGAGGAGACTGATCCCTGCTTGGTCGGAACACTCTCGGTGTGGGTTTATGAGCAGCTGTGATAAGCATTGCGCGTCCTCCTTTCTTAGATGCATACATATCGCTCGAGTAGTTAAGGGGAAGCGGCTGGTACCGTGCGAAACTTTCGATGCCTCTGGGTCATTGGGGCGAGCGCCTTTCTTCTTGCCCGTACATACATGGTATATATATTTTTTATGTTGCCTTTTTTCGATAATATTCGCCAAGGATGGATTTCCCATCTTGTTGTTCGGTATATGTTGTCTCTGTCCTCCTCCTCGTCGTCGTCGTCGCTTGCCACAAGAACAACCGTTGTGCCCTGTGCTTGTTCACGAGAACAACCGCTGTTCTGACCCTTGCTTGTTCACTCACGAAAATACTTGCGTGGCGGGTCTCTGTCGCGGGCAGCGGGCGCGGACATCAAGGAGATGGCAAGCCTGACGTTCTCCGAGGCGTACGGAGAAAACCGCTTCAAGGAGTTCGCGAGGCTGACCAGCATAAGAAAGCCGGTAAGAAGACACGTGTAGCCCTCCTTTCGGGAAGCAGAGGATAAATTTCTCGTGGCCCCGTGCAAGGGAGGGCGGACTCCCTTCTCATGGAGTGTGCGCAAATCCGTGTCCAACAACAGACAGCCATGATGCTAAAACCTGCAGTAGCGGGTATCACCGCGGATCGTCTTCGCGAGGATGTTGTCATTACTATGTTAAAAGAATAGGGGAGCTTCGTATCACAAACCCTCAACCCCAACCCGTAACCCCGACTATACCAAGATTAATAACCTTGCGAAGGGTACTGATCACCGCGGGGGGCGTCGTTCCGTATGACCTCGGACCGACGCTCTTCAGCTGATAAACGGCACGAAGTTGTGGGGCATAGGGGAGAAACCGCGAGCGGTGGTAGCCAAACGGGATGACTACGAGACAAGCTTTCCAACCCTCGCAAGGTACAATCGCGCTCGGTCTGTAAACCGCTCGTGGTTAACCTACCTTTCTCCTTGTTTGGTGACTCCAGTAGACCAAGGGGATTTGCTCGGCCCCGGCGTACCCTCTCCCATGGAACGGTGCCTCTTCTCCGGAGAACGATGACGGCTCTTCTCCGGAGAACGATGACGGCTGATCCCGCCGCTCTCCACAGAACACGCGAAAAATGATCCTTCTTTTTCGTGTTATTTTTTAAAATGGAGGTCTGCATCGCATTTTATGCTTGTTTGTGTATGTATGTGTGTGCCCCATTTTGTTTGGCTGTACCCCTGACACCCACGGAAGTTGTCTGTGTCTCACTCGTTGGATGAGACTCTGACGTGCGTGTGTCTGCCGGATAGAGATCTACGCATTTATCAACGTGAAGGCAACAACAACACAACGTGTCCACATGAATTGACACGCAGCCAGCCCGGGCGCAAGGGAGGGGCGGGGTTTAGCGAGCAGAGTACCATGCGGGTCTGAATGTCTTCATACACACGTTTCCTAGAAATTATCGCGTGTGTTTACGGGTGGAAATCGGATTTCTCCCCGTCGAAAGTTCTTCCCAGTCCTCTGACGTTCGACCTGCCGAGTTGTGTTTGGAAACCACCCTGCGACGTGTCTAGCGTAGCTCGCGCTTGCATTTGCCCCCTCTTCTACCCGTGTGATGCGGGCGAGGGACACAACCAGTGGACGCGATGCACACATGATCAACCCCGACTTGGCTAGCTGTGTCGACGTAGCCTCTTCCCCACGAAAAAGCCATTTGTCCGCCGGGATGCCCAATCAGCCCATGGCATGTCCGGTTTGGCACATCAAGCGCAAGGAGTGATAACCAGCTTCTGGCTTCATTCTTGTGAAACGTAGCCTGGTCCGGCGAAAACCCGGCATATATCGCAACCCGGTCCGGCATTGCAGGGATGCAAGGTCAATGGTCTAACGACTACGGCATGCGTTTACACGAGTACACTCCCACAAACACACAATATTTAACCCCATCCCTGTTTCCGGCTGCCAACCAGTCGAAACCAATCACGCACCAACACGCGTTGTCAGTATAAAGAGGCTAGCACCAACGCTTATATTGTCAGTGTTCGCCTTCTCAGCCTGACCACGTCTGCTGCTCCCCTAAATGTTGCCTTTGAACGTAGATCATCGCGGCGGTGAACGGGTACGCGTTAGGCGGAGGCTGCGAGCTGGCGATGATGTGCGACATCATCTTGGCGGGAGAGAAGGCCATGTTCGGCCAGCCCGAGATCACCCTCGGCGTGATTCCTGGTGAGGGCGGGGGGGTCGGTTGAGGCGTGTGTACGTGTATTTGCGTGACTTTCTCCCGAAGACCGTTTTCGTCGTATTTTGAATCGATGCGTGAGGCGGGGGGGAACTAAGAAACCGACCTCGACTCAATCTGTGCAGGTATACGTGTCAAATACCAAATCAATCGCTGAATCAAACGTGTCAACCCACCCTTGCTGCTACTTGGTGCCACCGCTATTTTAACTGACCGATAGCAGCCTGGATCCGAGTTTTCCCGAAGCCCGACAATTGCTGCAACAAAACAGGCCGCTTTGTTGCAACCCCTCCCACCCCTCCCCAAGCGCACGCCTCATTTCACTCAACTAGCCGAAACGCCGACGACCACTATTTGCGATACACGCACCACTTGATACGATCCTACCAGACATGTCAAATAGTTGAAACGACCAGAACATGCTGACAACGAATGTGTTTGGGTTTTCCTCTTGTGCCGGCGGATGATAATGATGCGGGGGGGGGGGGGGGGTCAGGCTGGGGGGGCACCCAGCGGCTGATCCGGGCGGTGGGCAAGTCGAAGGCCATGGAAATGGTTCTCACCGGAAACCAGATCGACGCCCACCAGGCGGAAAGAGAGGGTGAGCCACGCCATATGGCGCAACGTATAAAAACGTGCTCCAATGTTGAAGAGACGAAGTAACTCCCGTCGCCTGCGACCTTTTTGTGGCTTTCGCATTTATGTATAATATTCCGCTTCGGTCGAACCCTGCTACGATAGCTTGCGTCTAAGGGGTGGGGTGTACCTTTGGCTGGAGGGGGGGCGGAGTTTCGCATACTTTTTGTGTTCAACGGTTTTGTGCCACGCCGCCCCAAGAGACTTTTTTTGCTTACGGTGGTCTCAGGGCATGCTTTTTGCCGATGGATGAAGGGTTAACTTCATGTGTGGCTTGAGCAGCAAGCGGTAGGTATGCTGCATCTCCACCAGGTGAAGCAATTAGGCCGGCGGTTACCGAGTAGCGATATGATGAGGGGGGGGGGGATGAGAGGGGAGATTGATGGCGAGAGAGAGAAAGAGAGAAAGAGAGAGAGACCGAGACATGTGCATCGACAAGGAAATAAGTTGGTGGGGGGGGGGGGGGGCAAAAAGGAAAGAAAAAAAAAAAAAAAAAAACCCTTTTCGGGCCCCAAAGGGAATCCCCCCACATGTTGTACATGCCCGGGAGTTGGCTGCTTCTTCTCCTACCCAGGCTGGGTATTTGGAGGCGGTTCCTACGGCCCTTGATGGTTGTGCCGGGGAAAAATAACCCCTGTGCTGGGGCGTGCCCGAAAGGAAAGGATGGGTGGACGGTAGCCCCGTGTATCAACCCCTAAAGGGAGTGTGTTATGTAAATTGGCGTGGCCCCCCTCGATTGCCCTTTGCATGGGGTCGGTAAAGGTAAGGTGCAACCCACCGCGGGCTCCCCGTCCATCTTTACCCCCAAGCAAAAGTACGTGGCATACCCCGCCCGACTTCTGCCACCCAGCCCTAGCATGACCTGAAGTACGCCCCGCCTCCCCGCCCCTGGAAAACAAACCCACAAGGCCCCCCATGCACCCACCCACCCACCCCCTTTCATGTCACCCACCGCTGCCCCTTCCCCTACGGACACGCCGCGATCAGGATTGGTGGCGAGAGTCTACCCCGCGGAGGAGCTGGTGGACCAGGCCGTCGCGATTGCGGCGAAGATCGGCTCCATGTCTCTCCCCGTGGCCCTCATGGCCAAGGAGGCGACGAACGCGGCGTACGAGGGCACCCTCGCAGAGGGGTGCCGCCTCGAGCGCAGGATGTTCCATTCGTGCTTCGCCCTGGTGAGCTTTACGAACTACTACCGTAAGAGTCGGAGAGATGGCACCTTTGTGTTAGCGTTTTTTTGTAGCGTATTTCACCACAACCAGGGGGGTACCAGTGGCGAAAAGGGTAGTTTTGGAAACATCTCGTCGAGGGCTTTCCTGAGAGGTATCGGTTGGTGTTCGCACCCTCCTAGTTGTGGAAAAATAGGCTAAACGAAAACGCTAATACGGGGGTGCCATCTCTCCGACTCTTACGGCATTGTACTCCACAGCACGAGCACACGTGCTTATCGAACCGATGAAATTTAGTGATTTGTTTTTGTAGACCGGTTGGCAATGCTACTGTCTCGCCACCGCACGGAACACGGGCGCGCGCCTAGGTGAATCGGAGGGCAAGTCCTTTATGTGGGACCTCCGCCACCCCCGCCCACCCTTCTGTTGGGGGGGCTCGCGCTGTACACTGTTTAGCGTTGCCCTCTAGAGTAACAGCGCGTTGTTACCGGTCCGCACTCAAGCACAGGAGGATAATAAGCGGCAGGTCTCCTTGCTTTGATTGAACACGCGGAAATTGGCAACCGATAGGAGACGTCGGGGCGAGAGGGTTCAGTTGTGTCTCCCGGCCCAAACTCGTGGGATTATGTACGTGCGTGAGCCCTGGGAATGTTTCTTGTTGTGTTTGCCTATGCAACAACGCCCAAACATGTTGGATCAACCCGGGATTTCTAGGCGTCCCTGGGAACTCCGCTTACAAACCACGCCGCCGCCCCGTCCCCCTCCTTATTGACCCGTGGTCCCGTGTGTGTGTGCGTCTATGTCGGTCGTGCAGGATGACCAGAAAGAAGGCATGGCAGCGTTTGCCGAGAAGCGGGCGCCGAAATGGACCCACAAGTGAGCTAGCCGTAAGCAGCTCGGCAACAGAAGGGGTCGGTGGAGGCCGCACGTCCGTCACCACGTTGTTCGTCGGTGTGTATGTATGAGCACCCCGCCCGCTGCTTTTGTTGGGAGAAGACACAGATAGGGAGGAAGGTTGTAGCCTAGCCACCCCGATGTGCAGAGCCCGGGGGGGGGGGGTTGAGCAGAGGGGCGTCGTCACCTCATGAAGCTCTGAGGGCTGCGTATGTATGTATGTATCCCGTCGAGGACACGGAATATGTGGGAGACCAGCGCCTGCCGTGGAGGTGTGCCTGTTGTTGTTGTTGTTGTTGTTGTTGTTGTTGTGTTTCAGCAGGAGGTAGAACATGCATGTATGTACTGCTCGCCAGCGGGCAGGATGGGGGTGGGTGTGACCGAATGGTCCATCCAGGAACGTTGGAGACGGGTGCTCGACAGCACCACCGGGAGATGAGGCAGCGGGGCGGGGGTGGGGTGGAGAGACGTCTCCCAAGAGCCAAGCGCAAAGAGAATAAACACCACGAGACGTAACAAAATCAAAAGTTCAGTTTCGTGTGTGTGTGATGCCAGTTCTTTGATTTCATGGAGAGGGGGAACAACTACTGGGGGTTTATATTATACGTATTTTTGTTTGTTGTTTCTGTCAGGTTTTGGTCAAAACGCGACCTTCGCAGGAAGAAGACTCGGCTCTTTTGGTGTCGTTGACTTGGCCGTGAGCGAACGCTCAATCAATCAACAAAGCAAACATATAACATGCATCCATCCATTCGGAGCAACACAGATGACTAATAATGTAGTTGAGCAACGCGGATGCCTCAGCTTCTGTTGTATGCGTGTAGTGAGGGTTGGAGAGAAGATGGTGTGCCGGAGTGCAGAGCACGAAGAGGGCAGACAGAGGGCGTGACTCAGACGGTGGACCGTGACTCAGACGGTGGCTGGCTGTGTCGGAGAGAGAATGGACATGTACAAAAAATATGTGCCCGCACACCTACTGATATATTTTTGTGTCCGCACTCGGTTATATCCCGAACGGGTAATCTTTCTGTGTTTGTTGGTATTCGTAATTCCACGTTACCTCTACAGATGTTTTTTGTACTTAGCACCAGCTGGCATCACTGATATAAATCATCAGTGTATCCAGTACCCAGCCGGTTTTCCTCCACTCACTGAAAAGACTCCACCACATCCCGTTCGACTGCTGTGGGTATATCTCGAATGGGTAGCCTTTCTGTGTGTGTTATTCATTTTTCCTTAATTAAATAATATCTCTTTAGTTTCAATGCCTACTTGCTGAATGTAGACTGACTACTACTAGCATCGTGCAGCAATTGTGAGGACAAAACAACCACATCATGTACGTGCATGCAGTAGTATCAGCACGTCGAGAATGCACATAACATACATACATACATGATGATGAGAGGACACACACACATACATTACATACATACAGCAGCTGATCGGGAGTGCGGTGTACGAAAGCACGAAGAAGGCAGAGAGAGGACGTTGATGGTTGAGGATGGCTGCGGTTGTGTGTTGGGGGCATCCGATACTCACTTCAAGAGAGGATCGCGAAGGGACATCGGGACATCGGGACCTCTCTTCTTGTGGAAATTCTCACACTCTCTTTCTAAGAATTAATGTCATGGATTGTCTGTCACAAACACAGAAAAGAGCACGTCCGAAAAATCGAAATTCTATGCAAATGCAAGATAGAAGAAAAGTCTTTCTGTGTGTGTTTTTATTATTCCTTAAAACGGAGACACAGGTCCGTCCGCAGATTTCAGGAACGACCAAGCCCAGGCACCTCTACGACCTGTTGCGCAACAAGCAGCAGCTGCAGGGGGTAGTTGTGAGGGAGTGTGTGTGTGTGTGTGCCGTGGAGAGGTTCGTACGGACCCTGAATCAGCAAGAAAGATGAAGGTCCTGGGGTCTCTCACGAAAAAAGAACACGATGTTTTTTTTCTTCATCATGTCCGCGCTTGATGATGCCTTGATTCACACGCACATCACCACAAACCACACTCTTTTTCCGACCGAACACGCAGAGTTGAAGAACCGGCTCTTTTGCCTTCTACCTTCTCGATCTCTCGCTTCATCTTGACCATCGTCATGACCATCATTCATCACATTCAACTCGTCGATCGACAGCAACAACCAACCAACCACACGTCTCCCCGTAGCAGCAGCTACAACAACAACAACAACACCGTTGTGCCGAGAGGGGGCGTAGAGACATAATCTGTCGCCTCTGTGACAAAAACCATCGGTGTCCTGTGGGTATATCGGGAGCGCGCAACCTTTATACCCTTGTGACTGATGATGGCATCATCATCTGCCGTCGCCATTGCTCCGATTTTCAAGGTGCGAGAGTGTTCGGAGTCGACATACACGAGTCGGATACGCGCACAAGGAAAGGAGGGCGCAGTTGCCTCGATGGTGCCGCTGCGGTGCCTCTGCGGTGTCTCTGCCCAGCCCGCGCACGCGCGAGTCCTTTGCTTGATTCCTACAATGTATGTGATGTGTCTCCCACCAGCTGCTGCTGCTGCCATGGTGACATCTGCGTGTGTGCGGGCTTGTTGTTGTCCGAGTTTTTTGGAGAGAGAGAGATAGGTTTTCGCCGAGAGGATGTATGTCAACAAGCCACACGCGGTGAACCATAAGTTTGATCGTGAGCGACAGCGATGTGGAGCTTCTGTGCTTGTGCTTGCATAGGGAGTGTAGGCCATCAGCAGCAGCAGCAGCAGCAGCAGCACAGCGTGTCCTGCTCTCTGCTGTTTGGTGCTGCCGGCGGCCCGCGCGCTCCTTCTGGTTGAAAATGTGTGGTGGCGTGGATGCAATGGTTGGTTGCTTCTTGATCGCGGGCAGCATCACCTCCGGTCGGCGCACCAGCCGCCTTCTGTTCTGTTCTTCAAAGACCGAGAGTGAGATATACTTCGTGCGTCTCGTGTGGTCGTGGCTCGACCGTTTGGGACACACCGGCTGGGGCCACCGCCTGCTGCTCGGCTTTCGATGTCATGTGTACAATTTCAACACCCCGGCTCCGGGAGGCTGCATCATACGGATCTTCTTATCCACACATTCTCAAAATTCGGGTGTGCTCTGACCGAAGTCTCCCCTCTCTCATGAAGGATGTTATCTCGATGCCAACCAAAACCCAATAACTTGATGCTGGTTTGCCCCTGTTCTTTCTCCCGCTCGAATTACCACATTCATTCGTGCTCACCGGGGGGGTGCTCCCGTTTACCGCCGCTCAGATGGACCAAGAACACCAAGCGCTGCGGAAGAGCTGCGACTACTGCGTGAGGTGAGAAATATCTCCATGCGTGTTGTCTTTTCTTCTTTCCTGTGTGTGTCTGGGCGTGTGTATGCGCGAAAAACACACACACACACACACGTTGATCCCCAGGCCCTATTTCGGTACACTACAAACAGCAGAGCCGTTGTGTTGTGTGTGTTTTTATTATTAGATTATTAGCATCGACCGCCCTAACCGCCTGACCAATGTGTGTGTGTGTGCATCAAGTTCCGGAATTATGTACTGCTGTAGTTCCGGAATTAATTTAGGACTGGGGTGGGCGGCCCGTTTGGGCGTTAGCATGTTAGCATGCGTGACCACGTCCTCCTCTCTCTTGGACGGGCATCAAAAATAAAAAATCAGGATGAAGCGAGGCTGCAGCGGAGGCACGCCGTGCGCACTCTGCAACAGACGCAACAAGAATTGCATCAGGTCCATCAAGAAGCGCAGCGGGCCAGCGAAGGTGGGTGTGCTTGTATGTATGCGTAGTTTTACTGCTGTAGGGCCTCGCTCTACTCCCTCCGGCTTACTGGACCGCAATGCTACAACTTCAAGATGACATGAAATGTTGTCTGTCACGCGATGTTTTTCTTTGTTCTGCCGGGCGCGTGCGTCTACTTGTACCTGAAAACATTTCTGCCTCCAGAGGATGCCTTCCTATCTCGTCTATGCATACGAAGATACTTCAAGTTGGTACAATACCAGTTAGGGACACGCAAGGGTTTCCCAGGGTCACTCCTTCCTATATCCACGTTCTCTTGCAACTCATGACCAACTGCGCGTGTATGTACTCGAATACAAGCAGGGTCTGCCTACAGCAGCGTAGTATGCATACGAGCCTCTCGAGTTTGAACCTACAGGCCGGAGGCTCCGCCCGTTTTTTTTGTTGTTTCTCTCTTTGTCTGTCTGCCTGGGTCTCCTGGCCGTGTGATGGTGGTAGATAGGCGGCGGCAGATAAAGCCCTACTGCTTGGAAAAGCTATGTGTGTCTTCGTCTTGCCACAGGGAAAAATGCTCAAGGCTGAAAATCCAGTTTTAGCAAGCTGTGTTACTCGCCAGCTGATGCTCTAGAGCTCATACGTTGGAAATCACCCCAGCATAGCATAACATACAAATAGAGCGCTGTAGATACACAAGATGGTACCAACCCGTCTCGTCGAGCCTATTACTGTACCCACAGGGGAGATATCGCTGTATGCTGCTCGGAAATCGTGCAAAATATAGGTGGCTTTGCTGACGCTCATCTATCTTTTAGACTCTTTAAAGATGGATTCGTTGTGTCATACTTGAGAAAATACAAAATCACCCCAACAGCAGTTGTAGTAGTGAAGATGCAGGCTGGCCTTCGCAAAAATGATGTGGCATCAAGTGCAACATCGGCGGCCGGGTGGTTGTTCTCCGAGAATCGACATGATGTGGCATCAAGTGCAATATCCGCGGCCGGGTGGTTGCCCTCCGTGAATCCGAGAACGATAAAAATGTGTGTGTGTGTTGTGCATGCCCACCCGGAACAACCACCCCCGCGCTCCAGCTGCCGCTGCACTGCTGCGCCACGTGACTGACCCCCCCCCGCCTGGTTTGTTCTTGCGTACGAATGCATGCTTCATACAACCAGGGCACCAAGTACTGCAAGAGGAAGCCTCGCAAGATTCCCAAGACGTCTTCTTCCTCCTCTACGACGTCCACTTCCACGTCCACCACGCCTAGCGCCGCTGCGTCGAAACCGCCGCCGCCGTCGCCGTCCTCGTCGTCGTCGTCGTCGTGCTCTCGGGCAACGGGAGGCGGTGCATCCGCCGCCGCCTGCGCGGCCAGCGCGTCCTCGGGAGGGCCGTCGGCGGCCGCCGCCGCCGCCGCTCCCCGATCATCCTTGCCACCTTTTGGTGGTGGCCGTGGAGCCGGTAGGGGTACCGGCAAGAGGGGCATGATCCCGGCCCTGCAGTCAGGGTCGAAGCTGGCCGCGTCCCTCTCGAAGAAGATGAAGCGCGAGGGCGGTGCCGCCGCTGCACGGGTCAGGCGGACGCCGCCGCCGCAGCCGCCGCAGCCTCTCGGCGGTGGCGGCGGAGGCGTTATTTCTGCCCGCCCCGGGGGGACGGCATTGCCGGGGGGAGGGACCCTGTTGCCGCCCCAGCACGAGATCCGGATCATCAATGACGAGAGGCCGTCTCCGTCAGCAGCAGTCGGCGGTGGTGTTCTCGCCCTCGGCGCACCGTTCCAGCAGCAGCAGCAGTTGCGCTGGGGGATGCAGGATGACGGCGGTGCAAGCGCAAGCAGCAGCGGCTACGGCGGCAGCGACAGGTCGGGCTCGAGCGGCACCGACGCCAGCAGCGGAGACGACCCCTGCCTGGACAGCTTCACCGCCACCATAGACGGCTTCGGCAGCCGCCGCAGCAGCCTCGGAAACGGCTTCGGCTTGGACGGCGGTGATCGGAGATTCGGCCTGGACGCCGCCGCCGCCGACCCGGCCTCCGCCTGCGGGAGCGGGCTCCCGTTTTACTTCGAACCGTTGAAGAGCGGCGGCGGCGGCGGCGGCGGAGAGAGGGGAGTTGCCGTTGACGGCCCCGGAGGCGGCAACGCGGACGCCGAGCAGGTGGCGGCGGTGAGCATGATGGCGGCGAGGCGCACGAGCTTGGAGGAGGCCTTGTACGGGGCATGTTACAGGCGGGCGAGCTTCCAAGGGTTGGTGAGTCGGAGTTTCTTTTGTTCGTTTTATGCGTACGACTGCTTTGGACTGGATGTGGCGGCGGCGAGAGCAGTTGCGCGGCTCGGAAAACGTTTTTTTTATGGCGAGTTTTTTGTGAGAGCGAGTGCCCTCGGTAGGTGACGACGACTTAGTGTTGTACCGGCGCTGTCACTGCTTGATCAGAACGACAGGGTGCCAAGGCTTATAGCAGTGTGTCGCGGCTGGCGGACGTCAGCGGGGAGGGTGTGTGTCTTTTCGTTGACTGCCGAGGCACATACCGGCCGCGCAAAGAATGACGTGCACCTACCGGCCGTGCAAAGAATGACGTGCTGATGCCTGTCTCCCTCTCTCTATACATGTGTATCTCTATCTGTTACACAGCAGGCTTCTGCTGCTGTTACTGCTCCCTCGACCTTGGCTCATTCGCACCAGCAACACCAGCCGCTCCAGCACCAGCAGCACCACACGTCATCCTCCTCCGAGGGCTTGGCTTGGAACCAGCTCTTGCAACAAGCCGATGTGACCGGCCAGCGGGGGGTACGCACGGCCGCCACCGCCGCGGAAGGGGACGACCAGCCAGCCGGGGACAGCAAGATGTTTTCGACGTCGTTGTACCTATCAGCTGGGTTTGGTGGCGGTGGGGACGCAAAAGCTGCGCCCGCTAGGCAGCAGCAGCAGCAGCAGCAGCAGCGGCAGTGGCAGCAAAGTTTCTCCGCCATGCCTTGTCCCGCTACGTCGACGCTGTCGCCGTACGACCCCGACCGCTTCGCGTTGGATGGCGGGGTCGGGCCGGGCGCGTCGACAACGCTTAAGGACCTCCTGTTCGACAACAACAACCGGTGGTCCCACCAGCCGCCACTGCTGTCGTCGCTGAACGAGCTGCCGATGATGGAGTCTACCACCTGAGGAACAGCATGCGGCTCCGATTTGTCTCGGAGTTCGGTGCCCCTCATCAATAACTAACGTGTAGTACAATGTAGCAGCAGTGGTTGTTGTGTGTCAGTGTGTGCAGGCATGTTTTGCTTCGAGCTCACAGCATCAGTACGTGGGGCGTAGGCGAGGGCGGCGGGTTGTTGTACTGCTGCTGCTGCTGCTGCTGCCTGTGGTCGTTCCGTTATTTCTTGTTAGTTTTGTTGTTATTTCCGTTGTCCTTGCGTGATGAGGCGTTGAGTCGGGAGGGAGGATGGCCTGGCTGACGTGACTCCCTTGTAAAAACGGGGGAATGGAGGTTATATGTTGTGTCTTGATAGTGTTGCTGGCAACATGTACGTAGGTCTTTTTTTGTCCACTCTTTTACTATATGTCCCATCTTCTTTCAGGATGAGTGATATGTTTGATATGGCCAAGACCAATGGAATATCTAATTGATTCGTGTTTAGTTTGCTGTGTGTGAGCGCGCCCCCCCGCGCGCAAGCACACACGGGGGAGGAAAATGTTGAGAATGATGAAATATTATACCGGGTGGATGTTGGTGGGGTTTGGGGCAAGTAGTTACCCTGGCAAGCCCTCCATCTATGATTATCTAGATCTAAAAGTCGTTGGATGGATGTCAAGGGCGGGTAAACGGGAGAGGCTTGGGCGATGTTTTGGCTCAGAGCTCATCGCAGTAAAAGCACAAGAAGAGTTTGTTGGTTTCAGTGCGGACATTTTTTTAATCTTTCTCGTGGTAGATATTATATAATAGGTACCCGGAAAAGTAAGA